CGAACCATAAGTATTATACAAGTAGGCCGTTTTTCACACACAAATAGGCCGTCCCGATGGCACACTCTTCTAATTCGACCTGTTAGATTACTCTTAAACTTTTTCGACTTATAGCATTTCGTATTCGATTGCGCAATCGAAACAGAGTAAATCAGACAGTGCGTTGGCAACAAAGTTAGGCCGTTCTAAACTGTGAAAAAAAGCGTTTTCTTCAGAACATGATTATTACTAGAAATTAGCAACTTCGTTCCTTTATGACAATTTTTAAAAATTTCCGTCCTTTGCAAGTTTTCGAACAACCACGATTTACTGCAGTTGCTTTTCTGTCGCAGGCACACTATTGATTTATACCATACACTGCTGAGACAATTATAGCAAAATACTATATTTTTAGGCAGATCAGAAAACGAACCAAGAACCGTGAAAACTGGTTGAAAGACGGTTGCACCTTTAAAACTGCGGTTACAAAGTGTATCCAGTACCATTACACTACACCGCGCATACAAGACCTTTTTTTGAAATTTCATAAAGATTAAAACGAAACTGTAACATCACAGTTAGGCAGTTAGCAAGTACATAAACGTGCTTGAAACTGTCACATATGAATAAAAATAGGATTGAAAAGCCCAGTTACAAAAAATTAGGTAGGAAGACGATGAAGAAAAGCATATACTAGGGAGTGTATGTCACCTCTACAACAATGCCGATTAAAAATACCCTTCGGACCTTCCCATGTCACACATTTTATTTCTACGCAAAATTTCAAAATTACTGAGGACAACAAACAGTAGCAGCAATTTATGCTCCCCAACTGTAAAAAGAGAGGAGAGAGAAAAAAAGATGATGAGACTAAAATTAAAAAAATTTCGCCCCCTCTCACATACAGCCAGGAAAAAGTCGAATGAAGACAGCGGGAAGAGGAGAGGGCAGAGGAGGCCGCACCGACTCATTAACGCAAAATGAGAGGAAAATTTTACTTGGTAGCTACCACTTCGGTCAAAAAAAAAATACAACTTACTGGAAATATGCCAACAATTATTAGCTGTCGTGGCGCCAAATCAGTCAACTGGGTGGAACCTGAATTTGACCGAGATATATGCATATATATATATATATACGTCTTTTTGCACAGTACTTTTCTTTGCCAGACAGTTATCAAGGTATGTTTATAGCAAGTACTGAAGAGTCAAATCGTTATCTCACAAGGCCAGCATGCGTAGTATCGAGAGCACCAATTCAACAACGCTTTTTTCGAACTGTTTGATCGGTCATGAAACTGTTTTAATTTAAATCAAAAATCTGCTGTTGCGCTGAACAATAATGATATGTTTTACTCGCAGCCATAATTTATGTTATGAATGATTAGAGGAAGATGGTGATGGATTTTTTTTTTTTGAGTGCCTTCTTTATTTATTGATCTGAAATCACTGCAGTTACGGTTACGCGTATTGTTTTGCAATTGTGTCCTAGTAAGAATGACATAGAGGGAGAAGAAAAAAAACCAAGAGTCTTAAGGGTGATGAGTTCTAGGTAATTCTTCTGTGTTCATCTTAGAAACGATGATGATTTTGAGTACAGCGGTGAAGGTTTTTTTTGCTGACATTTTTGACGTTTTTTTAAAACATTAACGCAAAAGAACAGGGTTTTTTGCTTATTGGACACGTGACTTATCTGAGTTTGCCCAAATTTTTGGTCAGTTCCACTGACTTCTTTAACAGCTTTATCTGCTTGCTAAGTAATTTTTGAAGATGCTTGAATTTCTGTTTCAGTAGAAACTTTATTTATTTATTTATTTATTTATTTATTTATTTTTTTTGAATTTTCAGTCGTTCCTCATTATTCAGAAGAAGAAGACAGAGTACATACGACTTAAGGTCGCTAATCAGTGCTGTATGTTCTTTACGGCAGCTTGAAGACCGTACTTTTGTTAAGCTACTATGAAGTTCTTGGTGACTAAGCATTTTCCCTAAGCTATGCAGAATATCTATAAAGCTTTTACGCCCTGTTGTCTCTCACTGTCAGTACAATTTTGTCTGAAATTTTCTAATAGAACTGTCTTAAAAAAAGTCTTTTTTGGTCAATTGGAACTGCAGATGGCCTGTTTTTCATAGCTATACGAGTTTTATTTACTTTTTTTTTTCACAAATTTCTTTCGAGTTTTTGCTCAGTTACTAAATTTTTGGCGACAACTGTTGTAACTTTTATTATTTGTTGTTTCTCTTCTGTCACCATGTTACTGTTTGAAGTTACTGCAGGCTTGAGAGGATTGAAGATTTTTTGCTGCGGTCGTTATAATTTCTTTTCTGTCAGTTAATGCTTCAATTATTTTCTGTAAGTTTTATGTTCAAAACTGGACCGTTTCTATGAAAATTTTGTTTTTTGGTTATGTAAAGTTACTTTCTTAACGTACTAACGTACACTTTGTGCTGCGTTTTAGTGATTGGCACAGTCGATAATTCAACGTTTTTTAATCTCTGGTTTTAAATAAAACTTTAGATTTACACTTTATCAGACTTAATTTTATTTTATAAGACTTTTTGCTGCTATATGGCTAAATATCTAAATGTAGGAAATCTGATTACCAGGTCTCTATTTACTCATATGTGAAGATTGGTTTTCTCCGTTCTTTTCTACAGGTTTCTGCGCTTTTTTGTGTCCGAATAGCTGACATTATGAACATTGGGAAGTTTTACCCTGAAGTAATGATTTACAACGTATTTCTAGAAAGCCAACTATGGTAGACTGCCCACATTTAGTTCATTCAGTCTGTATTGCTAAACTGGATCTGGAACAATTGAAGCGTTTAAGCTCAAAACGTGTTTTCAAGGTTGGAAAAGAGTACGAAAAGGAAGTTATGAGTAGTTTTTTGAAAAACGGTATTATATACGGAGAAACGAGTAAAAAACTGGATGAGGCAGAGTTAGTTCCTATTTAATTTATTGGTAAATCTTCTACTAACGGAGATGACTTCCTAAAATGTAACTGAGAATTACTTTCGGTTGTTAATCTGTTTGCTTATAAGCTCTTATTTTAACTTTTTTGACATAATAAGTTGCAGTGATACTAATTGGAACTGCGTTGAATGCGGTACCTCACAGTGCCCATGGTTATGTCTTTCGTGTGGGCTAATTCACTGTGGAAGGTATGTGAATCAAGACGGGTTAAAACACTATCAGACGTATACAAATCACTCAGTCTGCATGAACTGCTACGAATACAGTGTTTTCTGGTGCGTCATCACTTTTTTTGTTTTGGGGCATTTATAACATTCATGAAATTAGTAAGTGTGGAACCTGTAAAGCAGCGGTACCGTTCTACTGTATTATTTACCATCAGTTTCATAGATTAAAAGTACCTGAGGTGGAATCATGAGGGTATAATGGTTGATTTTTTCTTTGAAACCACAAAATTTCTATGGTCAGTTTTTTAAGCTACCAATGTGATGATTACGTTGGAAATGATACGGATGATAACAAAATTGCATCTGTACGATCATCATTGCAGTTTTATAATCGCTTACGGTGAGGAATTTTGTTTGGTATCAATGAGTCGAAATTTATTCAGTTTAGAGATTAATTGTAGGTTTCTTTTAAAAAACGTATTTTTTTGATTTAGATGTGACGACCATAATTATTCTTCTTCTAAATATGATAGTGTTTTGGAGCCGGAAGATGTTGTCGAAATTTCTGCCGACGGTTCTCTTCAGCCCTTTTGTGATGAAGGCGTTGGAGAGGAGACAGACGAATCTGTTACCAATAATGATTCAGATTCGCCATTATACAATTCCGTTGTCGACTCTTCTGGCTCGCATTACTGTGGGCAGAGTGAAACTAATGAGTTTAAAAAGTATGCGTAGGCTTAGATGTCGATTTGTTCCGAAGTTTCCATTGAAATTAATTGTAATACGAAGTGAGCACATTTTAAGCTGATAGTTTTTTTTACTATTGAGTGGATTAATTAATAACCTAGTATAGGTCTCAATAAAACCACTTTTCGTTATGTAGTAGTCTTGATATTCAAACGGATAAGAATGGGTTTATTCTTGCAAGCTCCTCAGGTATAGATTCCTTACATCGTTTTATTTCACGGAAAATTGATTATAATGAAAAGAATTTTTTAAGCCTTCAGTCTTTGTCTGCACAAGGTTCAGCGTTCCTAGAAAGCGGAGTCAGGAAGAGGAAACGAGAGGTAAGTTACAACTATTGTTTTTGTGTTTTCCTCATCAAGAAGTAGTGCTAGTTGTTTACTACAAACATTTGTAGTCTTAGTCATATAAGGCTAAATATTTCTTAGTAAGCTAGTGCCGTATTTTCTGGTGGAAGGACTGCGCTTTAGCTTCTTGAAACAAATATTTAATATTCCTTACAGTATTTTGGAGTTTATTTGTGACTTATGGATAAATGTTTATGCTAAGTCGGTCAGAAATGTTTTTAGACTAGTCGACCATTAGATGCAGGACAGAAATCATCAGCGAGTGATGAGATTTTATCTTATGCTCCAGCCAACAATCGTTTGTCACCGAATATGAAAAAAATTGAAGCAGATAGGAAACTACGTGGGTTGAGGAATCTTGGAAATACGTGTTTCATGAATTCAGTTCTTCAGGCTTTAGGGTATGTAGGTTGAGAGCTTCTGTAGTATTTTAAGTTTTCTCTGTCAATATAATTTCTAATTCATTTACTCTATGGTCACATCGAACAAATCTTATTTACAGTTGTATCGAAATATTCCGGTATTTTATGAGAAATTTACCTCCAACTGATTGCTATACCTACATGACAGATCCTGTTTCACCACAATCACCGCGATATTACACAAGAAATTCATCTACGTTGTCACTGAGTGAAGCCGGTGTTCAGCCAACGTATAGTTTCAGTTTTCTGAACTTTTTAGAGTAGCTCTAGTTGTTTTGGGGAGCTGCTGGCATGTTTGTTTTAGATATCTAGCTGTAGTGTAACAGAGTGCTTGTCAAGTTTTTAAGTCCAGCTTTGATAAACCTTAAATGATGTGTAGCGTTTTTTTTTTTGAAATTGGTACTGCACTTCACGGATTATGTTTTCATGGAAAACAGTCGAATACGAGTCTCTGAATGGCAGGGAATGTAAGCTGTATCATTGTACTGTTTGAGTTTCATTTAGAAGTCAGTAATGTTTAGCGATTTCTTGCACTTAGGCTTGTGATTACTTTTCCAGTTTAATCTCGGAAATTGTGGTTTAGTTAGATCTCGATTTAGAGCGAAACTGTCTGCTTTATGATATGAGCAGCACTGACTTGAAGGTCACTGCTTTATAGATTATTTTAAAAGTTGTCAAAAACAAATTCTGAAAAGAGATTGATACTACAAGAACGAATCCTTGTCTGATTGGTAGCTTTAAACTCTCTCTAAAGATTATATTTAAGTCAATGGTTTATTTTCTACTTTTATGCAGATAGTAGTTGCTAAAATTTCTAGTGGTTAGAAGGCCTTTACTCGACGATTTGTAAACAGCAAAATTATTTCGAAAAACTGATTGATAAAGCTTTCTTCCATAATATTTTCTGCAGAGAAAATTATTTTTGTACTAAATTTGGACAATATGGTGAAAATTTACTCTCATTGGTAAGTGGTATTCCAGAATATTTTCTGGTACTCATAAGTAGGTCTAGTTTAACACTCATATTAGAAATAACTTTATTTTTTAGGGCTCGTATCGGTAGAGTTATCATTGATTTCAGATTACTATTTGGTTAATTTATCTGCCTAGCTATGGTACTTGTAGAGGCTCTTTTTTAATACGCTCTTTAAATTAAATTTGTATGCTCAGGGGGGCATTAGCAGTCAAATTTCAGCCGTCAGTGACTGTATCTGAAGGCATTTTTGCAAACTTGTCCTTTATAGCAGCCAATTAAGTTCTATCATTCGTTTGTTCTTCACTCGGTAGGAGAGTGTGAGTTCGTTCTTTGTAATGTGGATGAGATTGCATTACATTATGCTCAATATACTGAGGCTGAATTGCCACCGCTGTCGTACTGTTAATTTCGAGTGGTTATTTTTCTTTCCGCCTCACTTTAAAAATCTTTGCAGCCGCAATCCTATTACAGCTATCATTCAACAGACTTTTCTTAAAAAATTCATTAAACTGTTCTATCAATTGTTTTACTTATTTAGTACGTTAACAGCATTGTGGCTCACTTAAGTGAGCATTTAGTTGATGAGAGTCAGCTGCGCGGTTTCGAATCCTGACGTTATAATACTAAATAAATGACACTGTTTAAATTTCTTCGATTAGGTAATTAAACTTTTATAAGATTATAACTGGTGTAGTAATGTGGCGTTTTAAAATTTGCTAATTTTTGTATTTTTCTTGGGAAGAGGTGGAAGTTGAATATTTTCAGTAAACGAAGGATCTTTAGGTTTGTTTCTGAAGAGCTGCGTAAGACGCTAATTGAAATATCAAACATATCTGAGATATCGAATAGTGGCAGTTCTATAAATGCGTTTGGCCCTGTAGCTTTTTTAGAAGAAGTCCGCAAGTTTGCTCCTCGTTTCAGGTAACGCTATTAATAAAGCAGTTGAGTAAGTTTTTGGCACATTTTAAGTTATTTGCTTAAGGAATCTTAATTTTTGTTATTTTCAGGGGGTTTCAGCAACATGATGCTCACGAGTTTCTCAGATGTATTCTTGACAGAATGCAGGTGGAGTTGAAGAACTACCGTCTTCCAGATTGGCTTATTTCTGAAATTGTTGAAGATGGAGTGCAGAAACTTAACGGGTCACATTTCTCAACAACGAAGCATGAGAATAAGTAAGTTCTAGAGTTTTTACAGATTTTGAAAACGTTTAGGCTAATTTCGTTGTCTCACGATCAGTGTCTTCAGCAGTTCAAAGGATGAAAAAAAGTGCCCTATAGCAGCGATGTTTGAAGGGACCCTACAGAGCCAAGTGACATGCTTGTCGTGCAGCACCATCAGCAATAAACAGGATCCTTTTTTAGGTTTTTTTATAACTTATATAATTTCTGCTCATTTTTCTCATTTTGCTTTCTTTGTCTGCATTTTAGTGGCTTTTTATTGCCGTTTGCTTTTATCCATTAATTTTGATTTAGTAGAATGATGGATTTTTGAGTCTTATACAACTTCTCTGTAGGGTGAAAATGGTACTTGTGATGTCTCATTTTTTTTCTAAGAGATACTTTAAGATCTTTCATTGGATATTCTCTGCCCTTTAAACAGTTCAAGAACGGCTGTTGTACAATTGTCTGATTGTTTGCAACGTTTTTTTGCAAAAGAAGAGTTAGACAGTGATGAACAGTACATGTGTAATAAGTGCAGCGGGAAACGGCCGTCGACAAAGCAGCTCTTCATCAAGGTGCTTCCCAACGTTAGTGGCTTTATTTATACTAATTATATTCATAATTCTCAATCATTATTATGTAGCACACTTAACTTACTGTCTCATTTTCAAAAGATGTTCAGGTTCTTTGTCTGCATTTGAAACGTTTTCGGTGGTCGAGCTTTCATCGTGGCAAGCTTGATAATATGGTTGAGTTTCCTTTAAAAGGACTTGATATGAAACCGTACATGGTTAGTTAGAAAAATATTGTACTAATTGTCTTTTTTTTTTTTGCTTTGCCTTGCGAGATATTACCTTACAGTCTTTCAGACATTTTCATTCGTTTCCGATTCAAGGTCTGAAACAGATCATTTATCGCCAGATTCGCGGTCGAACAGGTATCGATTTTGTTCAGTTACTTCAAAAGCAAGGAAAATATATTTGATGTCTAAGAATACTTTGGACAGACCCAGTTCTACCAAGTTTCCTGTGGATAATCTTAATTTCATTACCGTTTGTTATAATGTGTGATTACAATGCTTATTTTTATAATGCTGGGGAGTTCAAGAAGTTTTCTTCAGGGTCATGCTTATGAATTGATCGGGTTTTTACTGATCTTTTAAGCTTGGTCGTTTACTGTCTTTTTTGTATTGTGTAGTAAGAATTATAGGTCTTCTATTAATGCGCCGAGGCTAACTTAACATACTTTAAGGACTTCTCGTTAATATTTCAGCTATTCATCTTGTTCTTCACTTAGCGGATGCTTAGAAGATAATATGATATACGATCTGACATCACTTGTTGTGCATCATGGGGGAGGGTAAGTTGCACTTTTTTCAATGCTTATCAAATCTCTTTCAACATATTTGCTTTGTAAATGGTGATGGGCTGTATGAGGGAGAAAGTTACTGTTTACCTCAAGAATTTCTGTTTTCTGCTTGAGTGAAGAACTTTAGAGACTTTCGCTAAGTAGTATATCTCAGGAATTTTAGGCTTGATCTGTTAAAAGTCAGAAGGAAGCTTATTTATAGCAGGAAAGAGATATTAGTGAGAATTTAAAAATAGCAAATCAATGGATGGAACTGTATATTAAGTATAGAATTACTAGCGAAACTTGATTTTTTGGCGGTTAGGGTGGAACCTGTTGAGGGTGTTTATTCAACTGTAACTGCCAGCGATGCGTCACACTGGATTTGTTAACTTTCTCAGTCAAGTTTCAGAAGAAAGTAGTGTTGCCTGTTTACATGTCATAAAACCGGTCAGGGGTTAAACTTTTTCTCTGTCTAAAGTTTGTCCAGATGTTATGATGAGAAAATTTCCTGGATTTTGAGAGACCGGTTGTTTTTGACCGACTGCATCTTTTACAGCAATAATTCGACAAAATCCTAAACAGTTTAAGTTAAAAGGTTGTGAGAACTGCACTTAGGCAAAATGTGTTCTAACAACTGCTTCTGCTCAGTAGTATGGTCAAGACTGCGATTATTTTGTAAAACTCCGGTTCATAGTGACTTGCGCTAGAGGATGTGTCGTTTGCCCGTGTAGTCTGAGACAGCCCAGCTAAAAAAAACGACTGTCGATTTAAGAATATACAACTTTTAACAGAAGCAAATACGGCAAAAAATTAGATTGTGGAAAAAGTTTTAAAGTTCTTAGGATAGCCGCTTACTGCACAGCTCTCGTAGCAATATTTTTAGGTGCTTTTTCTATTTTACTATTGTGGTGCAGTAGGACCGCGATAAGCAAAAATAAGATCTTTAAAAGATGTAGTAGTAATAATAATAATAGTAATAGTGATAATAATAATAGTAATAGTAACAATAATAATGAGAATAATAATAATAATAATAATAATAATAATAGTAATAGTAATAATAATAATAATAATAATAATAATAATAATAATAGCAATAACAACACACTTTCAGTCAAATCCTAACTCAGAATGACCTTTACAAATGTGCTCTGAAAAATGAGAAGAAGTACTAGTGAACTCATTACGTTCATAAAAATATGAAAGGAAAGGAGCACTTCCAGCATCGCGTTTTTGAGTACATTCATCATTCAAACGTACAAAAAGTTTCACTGCATTATACTACAAACCCCTAAGAACAAAAGTAGCAAAACAGAACTCGTAGTCAAAAAACAGTATTGAGCGTAATGTATATGGGTAAGGAGGGTTCAATAAGCAAGCGGAGCGGTACGAACCGAAAGTAATCATAATAGCAAATTTTTATGAGAAAAAAATTTTGTGAAATTGTTTAAAAGTAAATAAATTTCAAGTAATTTTCCGTTACTGGAGTACTGAAGTTAAGAAGTTTCACAAGAATTACGTATATTAAAAAACAAATAAAATTGTAGTGGAAACAGGGTTTAAAGTTTGCGAAAGCGCCAAAATGATGCTTGAATTAGGGGTTTTTTCAGCTTACTATTACCTATCGTATCATAATTCTTGATGCCGAAAAGAAACCGCCTTGTAATTCTTACATTTTGTGTAGAAAACATGCTTTTAAAAAATATTTATTCTTTTTTAAAAGATTTGAAATTTTTGTTTTTGGGAAAAGCCTTTTAGAATTTTTGTTTTCATTTTACTTTAAGGTAAAATTTGCTAATATGCGCAATTAGTTATTCCTCTGAATCTGCAGAAGACAGGCTTTCAAAAAAGCAAAAATTAGAAAATTTTGTCGCGGATAAAAAAATTACAAGTTTTCAAAGGTGGCCATGTCGAGAGTGAATCACATTTTTTTTGCGCACTTTTGAACGGTCTTACTCTGCCGCCAGCACACTTTTTAAGGTTAGCTCTCGACTTCAAAATCTGGTATCAAGTGCTACTAGTAGGCAAAAAACGAAAGAAAATCTAAGAGGTCGAGGTGCAAACGGCACTTTTGCATTTTGACGCCCCCAGCACGCTGATTGGTTGATTGCATTTCGGTGGGAAAGTTGAAGAAGTGGACAGCAACAAGGGGCGGCGGCGCTTAGCCGTGGCTTCTTTGCTTATAT